GTGTGGGTCCAAAATACAAAACTGACCGCTCATGCAGAGCATCAGACATACTGGTATAATGTCATACTCGTAACATGAGACTAGATTAGGGAGTCTATAAGAATCAAAAACGCTTAACATTCTTTATGGGGGAAATGAATGTAACAAATTAAGCTAAAGCGATTCGGGGCTGTTTGATTGGATTAAGGAGAGGATAAGGGAGAGAGACATGTTAGCTCGAGTTCTGGACTGAAATCTCACACCTCACATAACTCACAAGTATTGCATGCTCAAAAATTACGAAGAATAGAACACAATTGTATTCTCCAACATTGAAGGATAAAAACAAGAATAATTAAGGAAAGGCTGCAGCTGTTCGGCTACAATTTTATTCACATCACGCTTCACATCCAGCCATTTTACATGCCATCCAAAGGCACAAAGTTAGGAAATATCAGATACAGAGAGAGTTGTATCCACCATCTTCCTTGTCTTCGTGTTTTGTAAGTTATTGCGAAGTATAGGGCCCTGCTCTGGTGATGTCCATTTCATATGATACGAAAGCTTAGCACGGGTGGATAAGGGTTACGGGTCGGTGCGCCGAACATCTACTCGCATGCAACTCCAAGGCCATCCTCATTCAGCTTCCAGAGAGACCAAATTGTGAATCCATTATATTCACCTCCCATGCTAATTAAATAGACGCACTTACACAGTTTCATTAACAATGATAATTTCGTAGATATAAAGACCAAAATGATGCCGCCTTCTATTTGGTCGCAATGATATTCTTCGGCATCATAGCTAAATGAACTTGGCAATTACTTTAGTTCCCAAGCAAAAAAACAAAAACTTTTCAACCTTCCATCAGTGGTATGTAACTTAAAATACCAGAAATTAGCAAATAAATTTGCTACGCATGCACTTGTGGTAAAAAGCCTTTTAATTAATACAGCGAAAAGATTTTTGCAAGAATCGTATACATATCTGCTAATATTTATGTCCATTTATCAAGTTATAAATCCTATATCATTCCATACCGCGTTTGGTTCTCTAAATAATGAGACAATTATGGTAAATTTTAGTTGCATTCAAGAAAGCATGCAGAGCCAGTTGACAGGTTTCTATTCATTCCACAACTGTTTTAAGTCTTTCTAAATGTAGCGATGCATTTTTCAACACTATTGTGTTTGTGGCAATAATATATTACTTAGAGTGATTCTCTTTGTGATGCAATGTATGTGGATTTATGGATCGAATATTAAGATATAAGAATATTGGTCCCACTATGTTGTTTAATATAATGTAATGACTGATAGTGAAATTTACTACAAGGAGGCAAGGTTAAGGGCAAAATACTAGCTTCGTGAGGCCTAGACTTTTCGCTCAAGGAAAATACACTATCAGTTTTTATTTACCCTTAATCATTCTAGGGTGAAGTAAGTTATTATTCAAGAATTATTGTGAGTATTAAAACATACTTATTATAAATATAAGTATGATAGGAACTTTTAACATCAAATACAAATTTGCAGGTAGATAATTTTCTACGAATTCCATAGGATGGATTTACAGCTTGCCTTTAAATTCGCGTCTGACCAGAGATCTATCGGCACTTCTAATTATGTGGCCTAGTCATAAGTGTCTGAACTTTATTATAATAGCACGATTCATAAAGCTGATGAGATCCAGTGGAAGTACAAGCTACAGTTCTCTCTGGATGAGACTGCCCTTTAGGAGACAGGGCCAAGTGAAAATGAATGGAATCATGAGGAATACAAATTTTCTTGTGAGGATTTCCATTATCATCCCTTAGCTACTTTAAATGACCCAGAATAACAGAAAATATTGGCTAAAAATTAATAGTAGTATAGAATAAAAGAGCCTGGTAATTGAAACAAGCATACATATGAAAAGATTAAAAATAATATAGTTCTTTTAATTTTGCTGAGGGGACTATCATTTCGTATGAAAGCGCATGAAGAAGGGATTCGTAGGTCGATCCTATCAGAAAAGGGCGGCTGAATCCCGTAGTACTGCAGCCGTTTGGCTTTTATACGACTTTCAGGATGACTTCGTCTACGAGTCCTTTTCCCTCGTTTCGGCTGAAACGGGCTGAGCTTTTGCCCAATCATATAATGGGCATCATCATAGCTGGAACTCGTTCCTGTAAACGTATCACGTTAACACTAGGGCAAGAGGGCTATCCAACTCTATCTTATGGATGCAGTGCAACGGGATTCAGTAACCCTCTTCTGGTGAGATAGACCTATGAATCTCTTCCTTATGCACTTTCATACGATATGAAAGTCTCCGCAACAATGTTATCTCATTATATTCATCGAAAGCACGTTACACTTCGCAGTCCTTTTAACTAAAATATAGACGCTTTCCATATTTTTCGGTCTCTGCTTTATTCATTCAATTATATTTAATTCAAACTACTTGCTTACTTGAGGTTTTTCTCCCCACTGTTTTATATCGCTTTATAGTTGATACTGCAAGCGCCACCTAACTTACAAGTATCTTTTTTATTTCTTATAGTAATTATGACTGAATTCTGTGCAATTTTTGTGAGCGCTTCCCTGCCTAAGAGCTGCACAAAATAAGCGAGAATGCCGACGCTAATGTGAAATGCAAAAATTGTATTTAAGTTCTACAGATAAAATTTTTGTTTCTTTATATAAGAAATTGAAGATAATTAAATTACAGTAAGATTCAAAGAATTTATCAGCAAAAATCCCTCCAAATAATTCAGCTTACTTATTTTTCATGGGTGTAAATTATTTTGGGACACATCGTGACAACATTTTTAGTATAAATATGAAAATCGCTGAAGTGTCTAGAATATAATTTTAAAAAGCTGATAATTAAATGAGAACATATTCGGGAAAATAAAGAGATGGGTACTTGAAATGATTGTCGGATGCTTAAAATCTCGAAATATATTCTTCTGATATCACACTTTAGAATACTGGGCAATAGTAAATTTGATTCGGATGATAATGAGAAGCAACTGAGTCTTTCTCATGGGCATTTATACATCCTTCAACGTTCATTCCGAAAGAAGCCACTAAATTATTTTCGTGGATATCATGTTCATTTTGCATACATTATAGGTAAGTGAATATTATAACTTTATATATTAGTTCCTAAATTTTAAACAAAAAAATTTAAATCAATTATATGTCAATTGATTTGCGATATGATATAGTTATCAATTAGATCTCGCAACTTACCTTCATTGTAAATATTCGGTAAAATAAATATTCTTAACAAAATTTGATTTTCCAGACGATAAGGAGCACAAGGTGTCCTATGTAATCAAAATACCACAAAATATGTTTTCAAATGTACGATATATATACTCAATAAGTGATAATAGTGCAAAAGCGATTATAAAAGGCCTCGGTCAAGTAATTCCTCTATGTCTACGCAAATTTCATTCATTATTGGTCTGAATTCCTCTCTTTCAAAACAAGCCTCAAAAAAATTCGAATTTTTGAAGAATTTGGCACAAGTTTGCAGTGTTTCTTGGCTTTTGACAGACAAATGGTGCTCTATAATTAAGAGAGCAATTCGCTCTGCGTCGGTAAGGAGTTCTATTAATTTGCTTATGCTTGCATCTGGACCCGAAAGCCTTGACCGTCGTGGATTTCTCATGCGCAATATGACTTCTGCAATGTTGTGAAAGCATTCCCGAAAATCTGCCGTTAAAACTTTTTCCTCCTCAGTCATTACGTTATTGAAATGAAGTATAGAGATCTTGACATCAATCTTGAGAATATCTTTCATCAGTTTTTTTGCTGACATCTTAGACACCGTATAAAGCTTTACAAGATTATAGATGTTATCAAGTACACGAGAAGATGTATCATCCAGAAAAAATTTAAACATATTTTTGGGGACGTGACCCGCCAGCTTTTTCTGCATTCTTATGCCAACAACGCTAGCGCTGAAATGGCGTTCCTCCTCATTTTCGCCGATATCTTCCTGCGAATTTCGTGATAGTGACATTCAGCCTTTTCAAATAAGAGTTTATTTTGAAATTCTTTAAGATAAACGCTTTACTTCATCAACTGGAAAAATTTTGCTCCG